GGAAGGGGAGAAGGTGGTAGAGAGATAATCTGGGACTATAACTTGCCAAGAGTCCGGAGCAGAGAACAGCCAAGATGGAAAGCAAAGGAGCTGATACGGCTCCAGGTCCCTTCAGAAGCCCTGCCCCCTGAGTTTGATGGCTTCATTAAGGACACAGAAGTGAGACAACAAGCAAGGACATCCAGAGGGGTTATAACGGACGTTTCCACAATTTCCTTTTGGATGAGGCTTGGGGAAATTCCACGGCTCCATGAAGCTTGCAGCTGTCCCATAAAAAAATTCAGTGGCAGTGATTTAAACTTTTGAAAAATTCTGATATTTCCATTTACAAGGTTTTTAAAGAGTACCACAAGGAAAACAACCTACTCTTTGTTTGATTGATGGTTCTAATTGCCACGAACATGTTTGGTATTGATTTCTGTATATTTCTCATTGTTCAATTTAAAAAAAAAGCCACCTCACGGCCCTCTACTCCTATCTTCATAAAACATCTTCATACAAAAGCAAAATATTGTTGTTATATGAGCAGCTGGCATTAGTAGAGTATAGATCCCATTGAAAACATCTAGGCATTTTAGCTAGTGCTATTTAGCATCTCAAATCATGATAACATGATCTCCTTTGCATAAAATCTCCAGGCCCTTCTTCAGTTCCCATTGCAATTAAGGCATAGTAAGTACTGAGCTTATTTATAAGTGTGATTATGTATTATCTTTGTTCCCTCCTCCTCCAGGTTAGGGTTCCACTGAAACCAGTGAAGTCAGGGAATCCACAGAGAAGAAAAGTTATACCCTGTTTTGCATTTTCATTAATTTATCTGATTTCATGTGTAAATATTTCAGCACCTCTTGGTTTGTTTTTTTTGTGGTAATTAAATGAGTTACTATATGGGAAGCAGTTAGCAGAGTGCTGAGCATCCTGAAGTGTCAGGTATCGTTATGACTGTCATCTCAGCACCCACAGCTCTACAAGGAAGCATTTAGTGCCTCCCCTCCAGGGATAAGTCATAAACAGGTAGAAAGTTATGTGATTCCCCCCAATACAAAGGAATAACCATGACCACAGGGAGCAGGGTTGCTGCAAATACATTCGTCACCAGTAGAGTTTAGAAAACATTCTCTCCACAAGAAACTTTGATGTATCCGCCTCGGAGAACACACAGGGTGCCGGGGAGTTTTGCTCAGTTAACTGTATCAGAACGCTGCTAATCTCTTACAGCACAATTTACTTGGAAAAATCAGTTTAGGGAGAGGGGTCCAAACCTTCATGTAGCTTCCCCACATACACACTAGACTGTGAGGGGCACAGCTGCTCATTTATCCAGTTGTTTGGGCATGAGGTGTACAAATGATTATTAGGGCAAGAAACAATTGCTATTTTCTATTAACGATGTCATATAATTCTCCTTTCCTTCCTGGGGCCTGATTAAAATGTAACTTAAATTGTTCCCATCTCTGGGTCTCCGGGTCCTGAACCAAGCCTGAGGCTCCCCAGGGAGCGAGGGATGATGGAAGCATTAGGCACTCCTCTGACTTTTATGCCACAGCAGCAAAATTCTCCACTCAGCTCTCTTAAATTTGTTTGCTGGAGAACCTAAGTGATTATCTGTGCCCAACAAAGTTGGACAAATTACTGATCTGTACTTTTCGATCTATAGTCTATTTGGTTTCCTGATCTCAGAGAAGCCCTAACTAAAATTCTTTGGGTTTCATTTAGCCCAAAGTCAAAATTTACAATTAAACCATCATAGCCAGCATCTATCTCTTTGAGGCAATGAGCATATCTTTGGGATACTGTTTTGAAATCTTATCAGCATACCCTCTCTCTCAGCACTCATTTCATTGTAATCTGCTATTGACATTACCACATCATAAAGTCAGTCTAGCACCTCTCAAAGATGAAAAGTAATCTCACACAAAGGAGTAAATAAAAACATTCTACCAAGCAGAGTGAATTGGCTAGAAGTAACTCAATTAAGCGTCATGCAACTTAGGAGGGAAGGGACTCAATAAAATCACATTTGTCAGTAGCTTGTTCAGGGAGTGTGAGATTCAAGTATTATATACAATACTTGAATCCTCCATGGTGCTTTGTTTACACAGTTTTTACTGGGTTAATGGAATCACTGACTGAGGTCACTCACACTCAGCCTTAGTCTATTTATAAAAAAGGCTTTACAAGTAAGGTTTTGGGGTAATTTTAATCCATATTCTCTATCAATGATCTGCTCATTCTCTCTTAAGCCTCACCCCATAAAACTGTCTAAAGAAGGTGAATTATTAGAAACACCAAGAACCTTCCTGCCAGCCACACTCTCAGTTCCAGAGACAGTGAGGCAGGACTTTGTGGGATTGGAGCCTGTTGTCCAGCCTCCTCGCCTACTTTTAAAGCCAAGAGGAGCACAGGATTCAATGTCGGAAATGGAAAAATAGAGAATACTCAAATGTGGGTATTACTAGATGAAAATCTAAGACAAACACAAGATCAGAGAAACAGATAATAGAGTCTACATGAAAAAAAGCTAATCCATCTCATGTTCGGTCTGTTTCCTGCTTTCCTGTTAAAAGAAGCTCTTTCAGTTACTAAGGCAATTGGGGATCCAAGCAACAAGAGCGACCTATGTGTTCAATGGATACATGGCAGGTCCTTGAATAACGTTGTTGCGTTCAAAGTCGTTTTTTTACAACGTTGGTGAGATGCTGTAGGAAGTAAACTCCTGTTTATATTAATTAGCCTATGGTAAAATTGGTTTAATTATACATGGCTTCGTTTAAAGTCATGGAACCTATCAATGACATTCAACAAATATTTAATGAGAGCCTACTGTGTTCTTTCATATTTGTGACCAAACGCTCAGGGAATGGTGACTGGAGGAGTAACGAAGTCTTTACTTGTGTGTTATGATTAGAAATGTTTTTGGAAAGGACACCACTTGGCATTAATCTGAGATTGTTTGAACAGCAAAGGCGGCAATTCAGGAAAATAATATGGGGAGAAGACACAAAAGCCATTTTTTGAAAAATTTAAATTCAAAACATCGGGCCAGTCACTGGTCTCAGTAGCCACTGGAACAGACTATGAGCTTCCCAGCTGTGGGAGCTGAAGCAGCAACACCTGCCCCATGAGAAGATGGTGAAGTAGGAATGCCAGCCATCACCTAGTGAACCCAATCCGCTGAGAGAGACTGGGGATGCGGCCAGAAGAACGGGGCAACAGCTGGGAGAGACATGGCACGTTCTGCGGGGGATTAGATGCTGCCTGTCTGGGAGCCGAGGACTTAACACAGGAGACCCCATGAGAGGATGAGAAAGACACAGCTGGCTGGAGGGCGCGTGAGCCCCACCTCTCACCCTTGAGCACCATGCAGTCCTTAACAGCTCCCTGGCCAGGAAGACTCCCTCTTAGAATGCTCTAGAATCATGCTGTCCAGTACAGTAGCCAATAGGCACATAGCTAGTCCTACATCTGCAAACACTCTGTACAGGTCTTTCCTTCTACATCTCTCTATTTGGAGATGTTACTGCTGAGTTTTCTGGGTACCTGAGAGGCACATAGATAATAATTTTCAAAATCACAGGAAGCAACACCAGACACCACCTATAATTTTACCTTTACTTGAAAATTCAAAAGTCTCATTAGGAACTTGCAGTATCTCACTGCCATGGTTATAAATGTCAGTTACCAGCATATGGTACTATAATTGCTGGAGGTGTAAGAAATTAAGCGTCATCTAGACCGGGGTGTCAAACTGGCAGCCCGCGGGCCGCATGCGGCCCTTGAGGTAATTTTTTGTGGCCCACGATGCTCTAAAATGAAAATAGAAAAAATTGTTATGAAGAAAATAGCACTCAGGGGAGATCGAGGCAATCCTGTACACACAATTCCCTCATTAACCCTTTAACTACTGAAGATGAGTATACAAAAAATTACCTTGAGGGCCACATGCGGCCTGCGGGCCGCCAGTTTGACACCCCTGATCTAGACTGACCCCATGACAGAACCTGAAAGGTGTTTTTGGAAGAGTTCCTTGATACCAGTCTCTTATTTGTCTCATTTTGAAAAAGCAGAGTTGAGAGGAAAGCTGTTGATGATGTCAGCTTTCTGGCTGCCCAGGTTCTGAAGAAATAGTACTCAGCTGTAATTAAATTGTAAGGAGTTAACTGTAATTAAATTGCACAGTATTTAAGAAAAGCTATCACTTCTCGGAATTAGCTCTGAGAACAAAACTGAAATGATGGAGTAATTAAAACCTGAAATGCAGATATTTTCAGATGGTTCTTGTCCAGGTTGGGATATACAGGTTTCTTATTTCCTGAAACCCTTGTTGTTTTCCTTCACACTGATGGGCCAGAAAGATTATACCTCCACACACAGGGTGCTGGGTTATTAATCCAAGAAAGAGTAAGCAATTTTCCCCTACCTTTTGTTTATTTTCTTACACCCAGAGGTAAATATAAATCATCGCTACCTAACTCTTTACACAAATTTTGTGTTGAAAAAAGTTTTAAAATTGTACAAATAAATGATTCTATTCTTAATGTTAAAAATCTAAGTAATAAATATAAAGCAAACATCCTCATTATTCTCCCTACCGCCCTCTACTTTGCTGCCCTGAGAAAACCACTGTTACCGGTTTCTGTGTCCTTCCTGAACAATCTTGCCTTGGTTAACACAACTACACCTACACTGAAATACATTACTTAAGTTAACCTTTCCATAAATAATACCATATTAGACACACTGTCCTGGTTTATTTTTCATTTATCAATATCTTTTGGAAAATGGTCCATGGTAATACCAATGAACCTTACTGCTTTTAACTGCTGCATTGTATTCCATCAAATAGCTGTGCCCTATTGTAGCAAACCATTCCTCCACTCATGGGATTTAGGTTGGTCCCACTTTTCACTATTACAAATCATGCGGCAATGAACTTCACACTTTATAAAAAGGCTGACTGGAGATGGGGACAGTAAACATGTTCTTTACTTCACAACCAGGAGAGAAAGAGAACTGAAACTCCAATGGGCAAGCGGAAATGCGCAACAGCGGAACAAGGGTATGCCATTTAACCGGTGCCGGGACAGGAGATCCTTCTTTGGTACCATCTGAAGACTTCCTGGTGATCCAATTCATCAGAGAATTAAAATGCCAAGTCAAAGAAGGTTTTCTAAGCGTGTCAGATAAGAAGAGTTTATGCAAGGATGTAAGCAACAAGGTGACTGTTAAGAAATGCTGATGGGCTAAGTGGGTGATGGGGGGAGCAGAATGCTGAATCTCTGGCCTCCAACAGGGAACCCGGTGTAAGCTAAAATGCCACTGGGAAATCTGGGGAAAGTAAGAGCCTTCTAAATCTGTGTAGCATCCCTTCTGATTCTTGTATGCGTAATTCTTTTTTTAATCTCAAAGACACAAATTGGATTTGGCAGAAAGGCCCATGTCCAGGAAAAACTCCACTACAGTCCAGGATTAAAATGGCCTAAAAAATACTCTTTGCCCCTATATTGACTTTTGGGATAAGCCTTTATATGTTAAGGTATTCAGCCTGATAATCCCAAACCTACTATTGGAAGGAACCACAGAGATGATCAAACACACGCTCCTATTTGGTAGAGAAGGTAACCAAAGTGTAGAGAGGGAAGGTGACTTGGGCAATGTTACAGAGCTGGTTAGGGGCTGAGCCAGGACCAGAGGCAGAGTTACCCTGAAGCAGCCCTCCACTGCTCACCATAGAATCCTTCTCCATCATCACCCAGTGTGCAGGAGCACGGAAGTGCCACTTTCTTAGCCATGTGACATAACATTTTTTCATTGAGACCTCTCTGTCCTTAGTCACAGTGCACAGAGAAGGATGCTCTGTCAGCTGTGGATGTTCCCAGCTGTCTATGGTGTCTATTACAAGGTTAATTTTTATCTGATGCTATGCCTCTGAATAGCCTTGAAGCATAGCAGTCTGGAAAAACCACACCCCACACACTTTTCCTAAAGTGATCGTTCATTCCCCAACAAAACCAATTTTTTTTTTAGCTG